GAGTAAATATAATGAACTATTACCTAAGGGGTCAGGGGAGGGAAAAGACCTTATATGCAAATTTTTCAAGGTTTGGTTTTGGTTTTGGGTTGGAGTTTTTTTAATTTATATAAAGTGCTTACGTGAAGGCAGATCCTGCTGACAAACTCTTCCCGGAACTGGGGGACTCTTATCTGTGAATCCTTCCTTGCATTGACAGGAATAAGTGGCTCCTTCAGCAATGCAGGTGGCATTTTGGGAACAGTCATTTAAATCTGGTTGACAACTATTCCTTGCTGCAGTGAAGTTGAACAAAACAGAACAAGAAGAATGTTTTAATTAGCATTGGAAAAAGAGATAGATAAACTAAATACTACTTAATTTTCCCCACCCAAATCCCATTTCACTGGGTGTTATCATCAGTGAAATATACATTGCTGATTGAATTCACAGTGATGAACAAATTCATACCTTCTACGACAGTCTGTTGAGGGTCGACTTCAAATTCTGTACTCATGTTAAGGGCCTCTGTAAAAGCATCTGAAATCTCTGGTTTTGTTATATTTTGTCCTACATCGAACACAATGTCATAGAGCACAATCACGCTGCCATTCTCGATGCTATTAATTACAATACGCATTTTTGTTCCATTTTTTAATTCTTGTATCTTCTGTGGCAGATGTTTTGTTATCTGCAAGGTGAAAGGTTTAACTTATTAACTATTTTTCTTGTACAGCAGAAGAGTTCTCAGAGCAATCTGCTGGCCATGGTTAGTTTAGAAGCACCTCTCACAGTAGGGGAATATGTATAACCCCCAGACAGAATTTCAGTTAAATCAGGGCCTCAGAGGACAACAATATAAAGTAAGGCCTTAGTAAGTACTGATTCATTCCTAACCATCACACAATCTTTCCTTTCCCACGTTTAAAATTATTCATACCCAGATCCTCCTGATTATTTACGTTAGGAAGAGCTCAGCAGAAAATTAATCTTAGTTTAGAATTCCTAAGCAAAATACCTCTGTAATGAACTTAGTTTCAAACTCCTGAAATTCTCTACTTGATTTGTTCTGATATTCAAGCTTGAACTCTTTATTGATAATCCTGGTGGTTCCACTGTAGACTTCAGCAGCTGTGGGGATATGCAAAACAGAATAACCAGACAAAATTCAGTTATTATTTAAAAATCGTTCCTCAGCTAAATAAGGCTTTGGAATTAAAGTGTATGGAGCTGGGACAGACTAGAACATCGAACCACTGTCGTTCTAGTTCAGTAAAGTTTTTAATTTGGCAGGAGGGCAAGTGAAGCTTCAGATCTTAGCCCAATGAAAAATTTGCAGGCTGACTTTAAGCGTCTGAAAGTTTGGCCTCCTTTTGCCTATTGATGTCCAGGTAGGTGTTCAGTGAAAAAGGGCTTCATTTTAAGGCCAATGAACGTGTTAGTTTGCCAACAGAAAAGGAAAAGATTCCTGAGGAAATACCTGTCTGAACAGTCAAGGAGGCGCTGACATTCTTAGAGCAAGTTGAAACATCCACAGATATTTGGTATTGCTGACCAGAAAGCAGATTTTCAAATGCAGTACTTGTTCCATTTAGGGTTTTCTTCTCCATCTCTCCTGATTTTCCCTGTAGAAGCACTGTGTAAGCACTGTCTCCTGTGCCACCTTGAGGTTTCCAGCTGAACTGTATCATTTTACTGGTCACATTCTCCAGCTGGATGGACAGAGTGATAGGAGCTGAAAAACAAAAAGGAAATCCCTGTGAAACATGTAGTTACAGTCTGTGTGCCTTTAAGGAATAAAGTATTAATGTGAAACTGATTGCCTAAGGAAAAACTTAAGTTTCTGTGATATTTTTACAAAGATATGAAACACAGAATCATATCACAGAATCACAGAATGGGTTGCAAGAGACCTTAAAAATCACGTAGTTCCAACCCCCCTGCCACAGGCAGGGACAGCTTCCACTAGTCCAGGCTGCTCAGGGCCCTATCCAGCCTGCCCTTGAACACTTCCAGGGATGGGGCATCCACAACTTCTCTGGGCAACCTATGCCAGGGCCTCACCACCCTCACAGGGAAGAATTTCTTCCCATTATTTACTCTAACCCTACCTTCTTTCATTGTAAAGCCTTTCTCCTTTGTCCTGTCACTACACGCCCTTGTACAAAGTCCCTCTTGTAGGTCCCCTTTAGATACTGGAAGGGGCTCTAACGTCTCCCCAGAGCCTTCTCCAGACTGAATAACCTCAACTCTCTCAGCCTGTCTCCATAACAGAGGTCTTCCAGCCCGCTGATCATCTTCATGGCCTCCTCTGGACCAGCTCCTACAGCTCCATGTTCTTCCTGTGCTGGGGACCCCAGAGCTGGAGGCAGCTCTGCAGGTGGGGTCTCACCAGAGCAGGGGGCAGAATACCCTCCCTTGCCTTGCTGCCCACACTGGTTTTGATGAAGCCCAGGACACATTTGGCTGCCAGTGCATGTGGCTGGGTCATGTTGAGCTTCAAAAACATGCCAGTCAAAACCCCCAAGCAGGGCTGCTCTCAATCCATTCATACCCAGCCTGTACTTGTGCTTAGGATTGCTCTAACCCATACACAGGACCTTGCACTTGGCCTTGCTGGACTTCATGAGGTTCACACAGGCCCAGCTCTGAAGCCTGTCCAGGTCCCTCTGGATGCCATCCCTTCCCTCCAGCATGTTGACTGCACCACACAAGTTTTGTGTTGTCAGCAAATTTGCTGATGGTGCCCTTGATCCCACTGTCCTTGTCACCCACAAAGATGTTAAACCGTGCTGGTCCCAAAACAGACCCCTGATGACACCACTCATCACTGGTCTGCCCTCCCATTGAGCCTTTGTGAAAAAACAAGTTACACCTCATCACATGCAAGTGTGTATCTCTTGTTGAATTCCATGAAAGCACTAAGACTCCAAATCCAGGAAGGATTAACCCATTAGATTTGTAGAACTAGAATACCATTGTGCACTAAAAATGAAGATCATACCACCAATTTTTTTTTCTTTTTTTGGTGCAGAATATTAAAAGACTGCATTCTCCTCTTTTCTATCTTTACTTTTTTATCCATTAAAAATGATGAAAGATTCATTACTGCACATTCTTTGAAGTCGGTAGATAGACCTTTGGCAAAAAACTAAAGATACACCAGAAAAGAATTACTATTGAAACAAACAGGAACTGAGTTAGCACAAATAAATTCAATTGAATTCTCTCAGTGAAGGAACTGCCTCTAGTATTTCAAAAAAGAGAATTTCGAAACTCAAACAAAAACCGATAAAACTTCCCACTAACATAACTTGACCTATGCAGCATAACTACATAGCATTTTACATCAGTGACACACCACACTGCTTAAACACAAGGTGTGCCATTTCAAAAACAACTTCAGACAGCAGCTGCAGCCTCTGAGAAAAGCATGTAGAGGCAGGGATTCATACTCCTGGCTTAAATTCCCAACTTAAAAAAGACATTGTGGAAAGCTCAAATTCCAACTGAAAATAGCAAAAATAAAATTACACTCAACGCTTCCAGAAATAGAGAAAATTACATTTAGTATCATGCGTTAAAATACTCACAGCAAGTTCCAGTAACAGAAGGATTGACAGACGTCGACGTTTTAAGGTTCGGCGTGGATGGGGTCGCCAAGGATGTATCAGGGAGGGAATAGGAGGTCTCAGCACTGGGATCGTTTGTCGTTCCACTCCCCTGGTTGGTGGTGGGACTTTCCCCTTCGCCAGGAGGAGTCGTAGCACTGTCACCTGTGGAGGCCGTGGTTGTGGGAGACAAGGGGCTCCCCGTGGAAGATGGAGTGGTCCCTGTCTGCACCGTGGCCTGTCCCTGTGTGAGGGGTGTGGAGGTGTGTTGAGCTGCCGACGTCTCCGTGCTGCCGCCCGGGGTGGATGAAAGGTTGGCCTCGGTGGTATCTGAGGCAGGAGAGGGGCTGGAGGCAGAAGCCTCTGGGTTGGTGCTGGGCGTGCTGGGAGCTGGGCTGTGTGTCACCACCTCTGCTGTCACAGCATCTGACTGAAGCCCTGTGACACCAGCAGTGGAGGAGAGAGGGGAGAACACGGATGCCGTGGGAGGGTGGGCTGTGGTGGCCAAGTGCTCCTCGGTGGTGCTGCCGGAGCTGCTTTGTTGCAGGCTGGGAGTTACACCTGTGGACCCCACAGGAGAGGAGGAGGAAGAGTGGCTGGTCACTGCCAAGCTGGACTCCAGAGTCAGGGAGGAAGCAGTGCTACTCCTTGTGCCCATGGAAGTGGCAGTGATGTCAGGCCCTGTTGTGGGGATGGCTGCTGTCCCAGCAGACACCCCGAGGGAGCTCCATTCCCAAACTGGCGTTGTGGGTGCAGTCTCTGTCCTCCCTTCTCCACTCACCGTCCTCATGGTGGAGGGGAACAGCAGGGATGTGGCTGGGAGGGAATGGGCTGTCTCAACATTGAGCTTAGTCGTTGTTTCACTCCCCTGGTTCATGGTGGGACTTTCCCCTTCTCCAGGAGGAGTCGTGGCACTCGCAGCTACAGAGGCCGTGGCTGTGGAAGGCAAGGGGCTCCCCGTGGAAGATGGAGTGGTCCCTGCCTCCAGCGTGGTCTGTCCCTGTGTGAGGGGTGTGGAGGTGTGTTGAGCTGCCGACATCTCCGTGCTGCCGCCCGGGGTGGATGAAAGGCTGGCCTCGGTGGCATCTGAGGCAGGAGAGGTGCCAGAGGTGGAAGCCACTGTCCTGGGGGTAGTTGTTGGGCTGTGTGTCATGTGCCCTGCTGTCACAGCAGCTGACTGAACACTCGTAATGCCAGCAGTGGAGGACAGAGTGGAGAACACAAGTGTCGTGGACGGGTGGGCTGTGGTGGCCAAGTGCTCCTCAGTGGTGCTGCTGGTGCTGCTTTGCTCTGGACTGGGAGTTGCAGGTGTGGAGCCATCAGGAGAGGACAAGGAGTGGCTGGTCACTGCCGAGCTGGGCAGGGAGGAAGCAGTGCCACTCCCTGTGCCCA